AGCCTCCTTCAGGCATCCACCTACTCTGATGCAGGGTCTTCCAGGGGGTGTAGGCAGTCATCTGCTTCACCACCCATGGGCTGCAGGGGGACAGCCTGCCTCACCATGGTCTTCACCACAGGCCGCAGGGGAATCGCTGCTCCAGCGCCTGGAGCATCTCCTCCCCCTCCTTCTGCACTGACCTTGGTGTCTGCAGAGTTGTTCCTCTCCCATATTCTCACTCCTCTCTCTCACTGCAATTACTGCTGTGCAGTAACTTTTTTCCTCTCTTAAACACATTATCCCCAAGGTGCTACCACCGTCGCTGATGGGCTCGGCCTTGGCCAGCGGCGGGTCCATCTTGCAGCCAGCTGGCATTGGCTGTAACAGACATAGGGGAAGGTTCTAGCAGCTTCTCACAGAAGCCACCCCTGTAACCCCACTTGCTACCAAAACCTTGCCCCGCAAACCCAGTACAGTAGCAGAGATCCTTGAGAATATTGGGCTTTGAGTGGAATTGATGTTGAGTACCTTCCAATTTTTCGTATCAAATATGGTATCTAGTAAAGTTTTTAGCTTGTTGCCTGCCAGCTCTGAAGTTTGAAGGCTTTCCAATGCAAAAGGAAATTCATCAATGGTGTAGTGATTGAGAAAGTGTTCCTTAATATTTACCAGGTTTGGCAATTCTTTAGGGAGACATGGGAGATAAGTGGTTGAAACTGGCATTCAGTACTGTCAGGTTATGAAGTAAGGATATTGCTCGTGGCAACAGTGTCAGTCTATTTCTTTCAAGTAACAAGATTTCCAGATTACTTAATTATCAATTTGAATAAAATGTTTTTATTTCGTTGTTGTGCAAGAGCAAATATTTTGAATTTTGATTTTCAAAAGCGAGCAGAGGCATGCTGCCTAGACCCTTATCATTTAGTCAAGGTGTGAAATTCTCAGCTTTTTCTTCAGTTGATACGTTTTTGTCACTTTCAGGGTTCATTGCTGATGGTAGTATGTCTGGTCCAGCATTTCCATCGTCAGCTTCTGAAAGGATTTGCTTTAGTTCCCCAGTATACTCTTGAGCTGATGTAAGCAGTGTGTTTTCTCACACCTGTTTCAGAGAGACCTTGAAGCATTGTGGCATCATTTATCTCAGCTGAGAATTCACATTCATGCCTTTTTCTCAGGTAAATCACTTCTTGATCTGTTTTCAGTCATTTTAGGGCTTTCCTCAGTCCCAGCTGCTTTAGGAACTTCATGTGATATCATAGTTAGGTAGGCTACTTTAGGATTCTCTGATGAATGAGGCATCATTAACTGGAATCTCACAAAAGCTTTTGTTTAGTCCTTTTGTATTCAGACCACTTCGAATTTGATCTTCTTCCTTCTCCTTTTCCTGGGTTGCTAATTGATTCTTAGTATCTTTTAAGAAATCAAACTGTAAGTGTGAAATCTACGTGGAATAATACATTCTAACATTAGCAGACTGAACTAGCAATTGTAAGAGATCTTGATAAAAATCTAGACGACTTCTACATTTATGAACTCTTCCACATTTGTGAACTCTCCCACTGCCCTGTTTACTCCCCCAAAGGGATTATTTTACTGCAGTGCTTGCTACTTTAATACCTTGTTTTTCCAGACAATAGACTACAGATCACAAAATGTAAATCAGAAGCGTGTGATTTGTGGCTTGACATTTCATCGAATAGCCCAACCTGTCTCAGACAACAGACACTGCTCAGCTTAGTGGATATTCCACAGTTCTCTAGAGCTCTCTTTGCATGTTCTTCTTGCTTTAAACTTTAATTTACTATGTTAAACTTTTGTTCTCCTGCTGCTGGTGATGTATCATCATAAACAGCGTTTTCCCAACTTCACTGGACTGCCAGTTGACAAACCAAAGGTATTAGTTAGGCTTTTACTCTCTCCTTACAGGCAGATTTAGACCATCCTACTTTAAGTCTTCAAACACTAGTTCCTCAGAGATCTACATTTTCCCTAGTTCCTTTAATATAAGTCTTTCTGCTGATGGGGTAAAGTTGTACAAAATTATTATACTACCCTTACCCTATATTAATAAAAAATCTTTAAGGTCAACTGGAACCTTTGCAAACCATATACATCATTTCTGTTGAGCCTGTACCTGCATTTTTTCACTAACAGCCTATTTTCTGAAGCACATCTACCTGTGAGCTAACCATGGTAGGGAAACCCCAAACTTTCTCGAGTAACTTTTCCCTGTCACCAAAGCAGCAGCAAGAGGACATCTGGGCTGCAAGAGGGTTCCCCTCAGGACCAAGGCCTCCCTCTTGGACAGGCCATTGCCTTCCCCATGCCACAGGCAGAACTAGTCCCTGAACTCAAACAGCTCCTGACCCAGGGGAAAGGAGGCTGGCACCCCATCTCGGCACCTACCTCAGCTGCCGCCACACCAAGCCCTGGCACTGGTAGCATAGCATGGAATCCTGTAAATTTACAGAGCCACCTGTAAATTTAAGGCCAGAGACTTTGTGGGTGGTTTGAGTTTTGCTGTGGTTTGGCTATCACTAACCTCAAATCTTCAGCAGGTTCACTTCACCACGGCAAAAGGCACCCAACAGCAGGTGGGCCCACCCTGCCCGAAGCGAGGCCTGCGCTCACAGAGGCGAACCACAGAATCATTCAGGTTGCAAAAGACCTTTGAGATCATCAAGTCCAAAGTATCCTCAGGTCAGCATGCTAGTCTGACGATTAATTATTCCCCTGGATAAAATTGTGCCTTTTTTGGGCAGTTTTAAGCTTTCAGTTGCTATTTTGCCTTATGCTGCCTGGCTGGAGTATTCTACTCTCAAATCTTTGCTTCATCAGCCATACAGTTACTCACTTTTTAAAGAAGTGCTCGTTAGATAAGCTATAGGAGCTGAGTCAAGCATCTCTTGCTTACAAAGGCTTAATGTTCAGACTTGCCATTCTTGCAGCTCATTTTCTTTTGCTGCTGTTTGGATGAGATAGGAGGGTCGTTACCAGTGGTCTGTCTCTCAGTGCTGGATTTCTCTCTTCCTACTTTTCATTTCCCCACTTTCAGATAAAAGGATTGTACTCACCCTCTTTGTCACAGCAACACAGTGGAACCTCCTATGTGCCCAAGTGCCAGACGCCTGCTAGGACTGTGTAACAGGGCCCTCGCTACTTAACAACTCCATTGCCACACATCATCTGCAAACTTCTGGTTCACCATGACTAACAGCTTCCAGTTTTCTTGATGTTTTCAGAACTCCTGAGTGGTTTCCAAGGTGCACTACCTTAATTTGTAGTCACCATGGGACTCCCTGTGATGCTCTCTGATGCTCTTCCTACATACCTTGCAAAGATGAGCCTGTTACTGCTCTTTGGTAACAGCATCTGCTCGGCAAGGCATTTGATAGCACTTTCATGCTGGCTGCAATAATGAAAACAACAAACATGACTTGTTGCAAACAATTTATTAGGTAGTAATAAATAAGAATTTAGCAGAAAGAACTATACAGCAATAAGGCATATTATTGTTAAATATGCAATTGACAGACATTTTAACAATTTTCCTCTAGTTTTCTAACAAAGTGCTATGTAGAGAAGTGTATTTCTGATACCAGTGCCAAGTGATGACAAGGATGCACTATGAAGGACCTGACTGTTGCATTATTTACCTTAAATAAGATATAACAATCCATGAAGATTTACTGTTATTTACGCCAATGAGGTTTAAGTAGATAAAATGTCTCCTGTTTCCTTTTAACTGCTTACTACTTTAATTTCTTAAACTGCACTTACTAGTCATATGGTATGAGTAAAGATACTACACAACAGCACAGTTCTTAACATTCATTTTAACTTTTATTTGAAAACTTGAGGCAAATGCTAATTTTTATTTTTTTAAAAACTTTTTTACAAAATATTGCACACTGTTTTAGCATGCAGTTTACATGGAAGAAATAGTCAAGTGCACTTAAAACCCTGAAATACAAGCAGCAATTTTAAAGATTTGTGTTATGGAAACTATTTTCATGTACAAGGATATGTTTCAGACTGCATAGGGTCTCACCTTACACTTGGGACCCAATTTGTTGAGACCCTGACTGCAAAGAGCAGGCTGAATGCTTACAAACTGTATTTGACTTCCTTGCAGTACAAATCTTCATTCCTGCGTCCTGCACTGCTTGTAGTCTCAAGAAACTGAAGTAAGTTTCAGTAGGAAAATTAGTTTAACAGAAATAACTTGGTACCTCCTATGTGAGTTTTCATTACTGCCTATGTGTTGCAATCCAGGGTAAGGTTTATTAAACTTTCTGAAGTCCTCTGAGTAAGATGCATTTGTAAATCTGTATCTACCCCTCCTCCATATACACATTTTGTATTGCACAGCAAAAGTAAAAATCCATTTTTAAAAAAAAAACCCAAGCATGCTAAACATTTAATATGGCTTCTGAATGATTTAAAGTATTTCCCTTTTGATCCTCATGCAATATTTTAGAATAAATATGAATACAAAGTATGAGAAAGTTAAGGGTAAAAATAAAGCCATTTGTCAGAAAACGAAAACCAAGGGTTTATCAAGGTCTAACTGGTCTTTTAAGCATACTTATCAACAGTATCTTAAAGTGTGTCTACAAAATACTGTAACATCTACTACCTCCTTGATGTTCCACAGAACAACACATAAGGTAAATAGGTTAACTGAGACTTGCTTAATGGCACTGGTAGTCCCATAGTCCTCTGGGAACAAAAGCCTTACTTGATTCATGCTCATCCAACTTGGTAAACCATTTACAATTCCTTATCTTTATTGGTTAAGCTCAAGCCCTACAATAGCTTATATATGAAACACAAAAATATTTATAAAAATAATAGCTATGCTGTATGGTTTTTTTTTTTTTTTGAAAATAAACCATGCAGCTTCTGTACAAAGTTAAAAAACTGTACAAATTGACTTTTCTGTTGTGTAAAATTAATGTACGTGGAAGTCTTCTGTTATGATGAGAAATAAGTTGCGGTTTGCTTAGCCATCCAATGCTGTTTCACAACTTGTTCATTTCCATCACTCGTTTCTCTCACTTGGCATTAACTGGCCATTTAATTTAATCAGAAGTTTTATGACGAGACCTGCCTATATAAAGGTATACAATTAAATTCTAGCAGCATTTCAGAACTGTGATGCAATCAAGTATATGACAAATGCAAGTAGATAATAATAGTAAGTTAGAAGTTGTATCATTTTAGAAACAAGGAGAAGAAAACCTAGGTTTTTCTCAGCTATCAGTGTTTTTCAAAATATTCACTTTCCCTATAACCACCTTAATACATAAGAATCAAAAGCAACTACTGTCAAAGCATGCAGGATACTCACAGCTGTAATTTTGTAACAACACATGCTAACACGGCGTATCACCACTGATGCAGACTACAGGTAAAATAAGCATTTTCCATCAGACACCCACCAACACTATCACAAGCTGCTGGTAGCAATTGCAGTGAAGTTGCTTTCTAACACTGCCTTCATAGATCCCCAGTTTTATCCAATCTCAAGCGCCGCTAGTTTTGATAGCAAAGTTACCAGCTCTAACTCTGTGATTTCATCACATTTGGAATTATCCATAAGAGTCTGACGAATTGGGCACACGCAACAAACAGTTTCAATTAAAAAAAAAAGTTTACCCTAATGATCACAGATACGTTTTATGTATTTTGAACCCTAAAGGCTTCACATGCTAGGAAAACCAGCAAACATTATGAAATACTAAAAAGAAAGTTTTAAGATCACTTTTGTGGGGACTTTGCTTGGGCTTCTTTTATACTGTACAAGGGTGGTCAATCACAAGAGAGAAGAGGCGCATGTCCAGTTTAGGAAAAAACAACTGAACATAAAGTAAGAAAAATGACAATGCTTACCTGTTTGGTATGCACAATAAAGCTCATTTTGTTTTCCAGACTGTGGATTTGAAAACATGTATCTCCATCTCCCAACTGCCACATAAAGCAACCATACTTTAGGCTGAGGAGTAAAGCCTACAATGAAATGTAGGAAACTGCCACTCAGAAACTATTCTCCACAATTACAAACTGAACTTCCCTTCGTTCACTTAGACAGGATTCTGACTTAGAACAGTATGTCCCACAATCTAGTTGTAGGTTATAAAGTAGTAAAGAGGAAAAATACAAGGCTTTCTATTAGTAGTGCCTTATAAAGATCTTAAAATCTTTGAAATCTTCACAGTCAACTTTAACTGAACAGTCAGATGTGAAATGACTACTAGCACAAAGAGTTTAAGAGAACAGAATTACAGTTATCACTGGCAGTTCACTTAAGCTGACCTTTGTTTCCATGTTGAGGAGGTGCAGCCCTTTTACATTTACTCCTACATACACTTTGATGACTTTATGGCTACTTGAACTTGCTTTGGTGAATATCTGTCCTGTGAAAAAAGCTGCTCCGTAGGTTGGAATTTCCCAGCAATTCTGCAAGAACATGCGCTGAAGGTGATGCATCTCTTTACTTACACCTTCACTGCTGCTGAGATTCTAGAAATAAAAGAACAACGGCAATCAACAAGTCTTCCCAAATACTTGTGGTTATTTGAAGAAAATCCACTATTTAGTGGAATTCCTACTAAACGAGTATCCCAAAGTACTTTCCCAGCAACCGTCCTCCTACATCGAAATTAAACCCTAGAGCCAAAGAAAAGCTCAAAAGCCGAAAGAGACTGAGACAGAAAGCAGATACCTGAATGAGCCTCAGAAACCTGAACGACAGACACCTAATCTCTGTAAGGCCCCACAGTTTTGCCTCTCAGAAGCACATCGGACTCATCAGGGATAAGCAGCTATGAACTCATCTGACACTACATGCATCACAATCCTTAAAACTAAGCATTCTTCCTCCTTTAAGGGGTCCAATCCAGTCAGGCATGGAAAGATGAGCAAGTATCTTCCCCCAAAAAACATGGACTTTTTTTTTCTTTTCTAAGAAAAAAAAGAGGTGCAGATTTCTTTTTAGTGGAGCCTTCATCCAGAATGAGACAAGCTTCTGTTTGTTCTTCTTCAGTGGAGTGACACAGTCACAATGACATATTGCTAGAACGCTCCTGCCTCAAAATAGACTATGTAAAGTACCCCAACCAACAAAAAACTTGGCTGGGCCACACACGAGGTGAGAAGGCACAGGCATGAGAGAGAAGACAAGTCTTCAACAGTTAGGGGGCCATGATGGTGGGTGTGGTGGATGGGACCAACCTCTTTGCATACACACCCTGCATTACAGCTTAAATGAATTCTACACAGCCATCTTAAAAATTTAAAATATATTAATATCTTTGGAAAGAAAGACTGTAACTCATTTCCCCTTCCCCCTTACCCCATCCCCCAAAATAATGGCCTAAGAGCAGAACTCAGGAAAGCTATGCTCATTCTTACGTATTATCTGACCCAAGAAAGAGTAGAAGCTACTCTGCTATGCCCTCTGCTATGCCACAGTCTTAGAAAAACCACCATTATCCCCTCCTTCGTCTGTACTGGAAAGAACAGGAATGACCTGCTGGTTTCTGACAAAAAAGGTGTAGGCACCAAAACAAAGTTTATGATTGAATAACCTCATCATAAAAGAGGGGCAAGGCCTGAAAACATTCCCTGGGTGCCTCTCCAGTGTTTCCTGGCAGCTACCTTTAGTGATGCGTGTCAGCCACTACGGTTCTCCCTTTGACATGCCTCACTTTTTCCACCACTTTTTATGAAGTTCACAAACTTAATCTTCAGGTGCCTCTGACGCCGTTTGGAATCCACAGCCCTCAGTTAGATGTCTTTCACAGAAGCAGTCCACGTTTAAAAATCCTGCTCAATTAACTGCTCTAGTCAAAGGAGTTTGTGTGTGCACGCATGCGGGCATCAGCAGCACTATCAGATCCCCAACATACAAGTTACGCTGGCAAAAAGGACTTGTGGATCTATCGCTACAAGCAGATGCGAAAATACGTCAGAGCGGATTTTTTTACATGTATGCCTGAATTGCCAGTATCCCCACTACACAGTTAAGAGTGAAGATCAATGAACAGATGACAAATATATTTACTTCTAACAAACGGATCAACTGCAACTGTACAAGAAAAACAGCATTCCAACAACCTTTTCAAAAAATTCAGAACATATGTATTTCTAGCTTTATATACCAGTGTTTTTGTTCATTAACTGCCAACCAAACAGTCAAAAAATGTTTAAGACAAGATTTTTCTGCTATTTCATTATTTATCTCACCTTGTATTCATGAAGTATCCTGTTTGTCCAATGAGGAGCTTTACTTTTTAGTTTAGTGATTGGTACAATAGATTTAAGATTTTCTTCACTAAGAAACAAAACAGAAAAAAAGTTTTTCTTCACTACACGAAGTAAGGCGAAAGAACAATTTGTATCTTCAAGTCACACGCTGAGCTAGACGTCAGCTCCTACTCTATGTTGTCTCATCAGGTGAGAAGCTTTCCTGAAATGTAAGCTAAGGCTTCTTAAGATTCATTTTAATTCTCAGTTAATGGAGATCCAGCTTTGTGTTATACACTTTGTGCCACGCATCACGGACCTGGCAGGGAAACAGTAGCAGCAGAACACATGACTCTTACTTGATAACAGATGGGTTTAGTGAATTCCAGTGTGGAAGCCAAAATCACATATGGACAGCCACTTAAGCCAGAATCTCCCACACTCAGAAGAAATGACAGCTTAGAGATACTCTTCCCTTCACAGCTGTACTCAGCACCACCAAGGACTTGGCCCAGTTAATTTCCACATGAAAGTTGCATATTACATGACATGGAAATGAAACAATTTATACAAAATGCCTTTTTAAAAAAACTCAAAACACAGCAAAGAAAAAAACACTAAAAGGAAGCCCTTACTAGTCTGCTTTTATGCCCAGTTACGATAGTCTCAAAAACCTAGTCATGCAACCAACTTTGTCATTTTTAAACTTCGTTTGTCAGTAACTGCACATATGATCTACCAAGCAAAAAACCCTGCTCAGGACAATGTGTCCGGATCTAAGGTCAAGGATAGTCTCATACAAACAACAGCCTGGATATATTTTTCAAATGACCAGTCTTTTAATAAGCATTTATATGTATATAAATTTATAAGCATATAAATCTCTTCATCTGTCTGAAGAAGAACTATTTGAGGTATTTTCCAACATCTTCATTTGAATATGGATGAAAAGCATGCCCAAATGCCCAAGAGGCTCTTTATCTGCACTAAACTGTCTTTCCAAGTAGTCCTGTCTATAGTCAAACACTTCCATTGAGCAGGATCAGCTCAGAACCATGTTGCTGATTTGCCTCGGCATG